TTCCCAAATCTTTGATTCTCATCAGAGATAATATATTTTCTGACGAATGAGAGGGCCGGGAAAGTCTTTAGTAATTTTGGAGAGAAAAGTTCCCGATATTTCTGAAACTTCTAATCTCGATAAATACAGAGACTATGAGCTTCTTTGGCAGTGAGTATTTGACATCGTCTGTGATAACATCAGGTCGGCGATAGTAACATCAGTCATCTTCGGAACCTGTTGCTATGGTCTAAAGACAGAACGTCGACCCCCTGCTACAACTACTGCTTGCTAAGACGTTGAAATTCCTGTCGTCGGCCTATACTACGCACTCACTCAACTACAAATTACGGATCTTCTTATTGTTCCTCCTCAACAAGAGCTCTGAAGAAATCATATGTGAGCGTTAAGCCCTTAAGAACAATTTACTTGCTTAAAGAACTTTTTAGCCGCTCAGAGAAATATTTTGAGCAAGCCTTTTTATAAACACTTTTTCTTCCTTTCAGTCAAAATACATTTTTCTCCCTTTCTTTCTCTCATGTTTTGTATATATCCCTCAACCTTTTTTCGTGTATGTAAATAAACATTTTATTCTATTGTTACATCCCGAGTAGGAGTTTTCCGTCTAAAAGAAAGAATTGTCCGATCTAAATTTTCAAACCGTTGTTGCTTTTATCGATTCTATCACCTTTAACCGTAACCCTTTCATGTAGGAAAACCGGGATAAATTTCCTACAAATTTGTTATTTTGCACTTTACGTCGGGTTTATCACAAATTTGTTGTAAGTATTAATTTTTGTTTCTACGCGGGCCACGATAGAGAGTTGGTGCATGAGGTTTTGAAATATGTCCAAATGATACATAATTATGTTTCTTTTTTTGTGTTTTTGGTACTAGCGTATGCAGATTCGTCGTTTGTCACTGATTTGTTGCGGTTGATGCATGTTCAAATCGCGTCGGCCTCACAATATGTTGCAATACTGCGCCTAGTTACGCTAAAAGCAGTGGCAAATAAAATTTACACATGTAAACGACGGGTCGTTATTTTTAGAGAAGGTTTAAGGAAATGGAATAAATTTTAACAAGGTTATATTTTCATATAACAATTGTCAGATTAACCAAGGAAATAAAATACACTAGTATGTATGCAAATATAACTGAAAAAAAAGAAGAAATTAAAATTTAGAATGTGGGTGTGCGTGTATGAGAGAGTTCAGTCACCCGTGAAAAGATATCCCCATGTTGAGGATAGTGTCGTATCCACTAAAATACTTACTAAGATATTTCATCATGATTTAGGTAGATACTGCCAAGATATTGAGCGGACGTAGTAGAAAACACACCACGTGGCATTTTAAGGCCAATTAGGAAAGAATAATATAATTCTGGAGCCGATGTTCTTACGAAAAAGTGTATAAAACTCGCGAAATCCGGCCGCAAACATGAGATGCACAGATCTCACGAAAGTCCACGTCATTCTAGCTGCTTATCTTCAAGACCCCATTCACGTCCACACGCAAAAAGCTACCGCGCTGACAAACTACAAAGAGACCGCTCCAAACTATGGCAACTCTGTTCACAGTAAGAACTAAATTCTATCTCTTGTATCCCCCGTTACTATTAAGCACGTACAGACTCTTTCACACAAACACACATATAACAACATTTCACTGTTTCTCACATACGTACGCAAATACAATTTATATTCTATTCCAGAACTTTATTAACCAAAACAAAAAGACATTACTTTCAAATCTATAACCAACTTCTTGTATTCTTGTCATTTAATGTTTATTTGTTGATGCTACGTTTACTTTTTCTACTGGATTTTATGAAAATCGTGGGATTTAAACGGTCGAATTACGAGCAGTTTCCCTTCCCACAATAATATCTTATGTTATTGTATCGTTTCCCGACACTCCGAATTTTGACATTTAACAAAAACCCGAGTAGAAGGATTCCTACAATATGTCCCGTATTGGTGTTACTTCTATTGCATGTTAGAAGGAAAAGAAAAGAGGAAGAAGACATGAAGTGTCCCGTTTTATAGCGATTTAACAGCGCCACTTAATTGTCTTTTGACGAAGCCAAGTAGAAGTAACCCACAGATGTATTTTGAAGTCAGTAATTAAATTTAAGGATTAATTAACAACTAGATTTTGTAAAGGTAATGTTCACTTTTTACTTAAAAAAAATGAAAATGTTTATTTACGCACAGTAACCTGCAATGTCATGGGTTAAGCACTGTAATTTTCTACTATAATATCTTTCTTAAAACGCGCGTGGAAAAAAAATTAAATATGGAACACCAGCAGTGCAGTAATCAAGAAATTGGTATTTCTGATTTAAAATAAGCTAGCAGTAGAGCCCGGCGTTGCCCGGGGATGTAACAGTAAGAGATAGATCAAGTATCGACCATCATAAAGACTGAAAAATAAAATTGATAAAGATTATTGTTTAAGGTTGACGGACATGCATGTCTTAATTATTATTTTTTTTTTTACGAATTCGTCAAACCCAAACTCAAACAAAAACATTGTTTTCAATCGTTATGAGTCTACCGATGGAATTTTAAAAGCATTCTGATTGTAAAAATAAAGAAAAAAGTGTGCAAGACAATAAGAAACACTACCTGCCAAAAAAAAGTGAAGTTTTGTTGAAATCGGTTGAAAAATGTGGGAAATCCGATCCCATATATAAACGAACACACACACACAAACAACCTGGGTTTTATAATAGGTATAACTCGATATGAGTTGTCCTCCTTTCATTCTCGTGATGCCTCTTAATCGTGTTTTCAAATTGATTTCGTGCAAAAACAATTGTGTTTTTCCAATTTTTGGCACTATTAGAACCACCGCAAAGTAATTTTACATAGTCCTGTGAAGTTTTGTTGAAATCGGTTGAAAAATGTAGGAAATCCGATCCAATATATAAACGTACAGACACACACACACAATCTGCGTTTTATAATAAGTAAGATTATCTTTCATCTTATATAACAAATAATTTAAGAATAACTTTTCATTCTATACGCTTTTTTAATCTAAATAGAATGAACAATTTTATTTTTTTACTACATTAGAATTATTTTTCAGTTTAAGGTTGCTTTTATTTTTTTGATAGTTTTCTTATTTGTTTGATGTCATAAACTACTTAAATGCATCCAATATGTTTTAAATAATTATTCTAAGAGTTACTGAATTATCAAATCATTTACCCTTTCGATAGGGAAACGTATTCAATCAATGACGGTATTTTAGAATTATTTCCTTTTTGAATATCCATAGAAAAAATCTAACAGCTGCTAAAATGAAAAAATAAAAATAGAATACTTTTTTTTTTAAAAGTTCCCACTCGAAAATGTCATTATTTTTCGATTCTTCAAACATTTCTTTTTTTAGCAAAAAAAAAAAACAAAAAAAAAAACACTTGTTCGAACAGCAACGGAATGAATTTTAAAATCTCATTGAAAAATGACATGTAATTTTTTGAAAAATAAATATTTTATTTTTAAGTGTCGATGTCTGAAAGAAAATAATGTAATTTACTGTTTTAAAAGTAAATTATGCAAAACAGAGCAAGCATCAACTCTAAACAAAAATATTTTTTAGTTTTTTAATTGAATTATTTTTTATAACTTTTGGGACGAATTTCATTACGCTTGAATTGCATTTTTTCCACCAGAATTTTTTCTTTATGTGTAACTGTTAAGTTAAGTGTAAAAAAAAAAGAACGCCAACACTAACCAAATTAAAATAAATTAAATATTTCCTGACTTTGGGCATTTTTTTAAACAGTGGGTAGGTAGTGTAGTAATTTTTTTTTTCTTTCGTTTCGGCGAAAAAAATATCCATTATTTTACACTACAGTGGTACCTAACGCACACAAGACATCAAAAACGTAAAAATTAATTTGCACAATTATTTCGCGAGAAGTTAGCATATTAATCGTGCATAAAATATGCAAATAAATAATTCAATTGGATGCGAGATATTCGAATCTTGATCGAATTTGTTAGTGATTGGTGAGTCATTTTGTCAAGGATTCGAAATTATAATTTCACACGAATTTTTTTGTCTTCGGATATCTGATTTTGCTAGAAACCATACTGATAATTAAATCAAATTATCATGAAATTGTCAATTCATTTGATTGAGCCGAAAATGAATCCCACACATACAGCGGTCTCCGACCCTTTCCGCTCAAACACACAAAAAATTAAAAAGAACTTAACTTCCTGTTCACTTTTTCTTTTTTTAAATTAAAATTTAAAATCATTGACGGATGAATGAATAATTATTAATCGCACGTCCTGTCCAGATAATTACGGTTAAAAAGGGTTATATTTTTTAAACTGATATTTTCCACACACTTGTAGCACCTGACGTTATGTCAACAGAGCACATGTCATGATGAATGGGTACGTGAAAAAACAATCCACAATATTCAATGAAACAGTTCATCAGATTAGTTAGTGTTCGGGTAATTGAGTTTAAATTGAATATTATGCCATTACTTAAATAACACAAGTCAACAAATAACAAAACATAATGAAATGATTGAAATGTCTAATGCTGTTTGTTGCGAATAGCCGGCTGACTGTGTGAATGGATAGACCAATCATGTTCTTGCGTCATTTCCGCGGGTTTCGTCACGTGAGCCCTTCGTCGTGTCATGTGACTTACAATCGGGTTGGTGCCCGTCCGACTGCTAAAAAACACACACTCATTTCTTACCCAAGTGTCATGTATATTTTTACTTAATAACTGTTAAAAAGTAGGTCTGCCTGCTTGGGTGTGTGTGAGCACTAGTAAACAGGACGTTGTCTTATTGTTATTCGACGTTTGTTTATTTGCGACGACAACAGTCACAACGTTTCATTTCTGTCCCATAGTGGGAAGAGGAATGATGGAATTTAGCTACTCTCACCGCTAAAGGCAAGCAAAGAGTATGGCCCGTTATTGTTGATTTCACCTGACCAGCTTGCTCCTCCACATAAAAAAAAATCTTTCTGCTCCATGACATTGAGTAAGTGTAAAAAAAAAAGCAGTCTTTCTTTTGTAATTATAACTAAAATAGTATTTTAATGATGGGTTTGTTAGGGGAAAACCAAAAGGAGGTAGATAAATTTAAAAATTAGTAAAAAATAAAGTTAAAAGAAAAAAAAGGTAACTAAAAAAATTAGAACATTTGAAAGGATCGCAATGAAAAGAAATATTTTTTTATTTATTTTCACATTTTTTTATAAGTATTTTTAATATAATTTATGTCGTAAATTTATTTTATTACTCATTTGTCACCAATTGTGACAGGACAGTCTTTTGTTTTTCTTCTATTTCGTTAGTAAGCTTTAAAAACAACGGTTAATCAATCCAAGAAAAAAATCGGAATAATAAATTAAAATTTTTTATCGTAATTATTAGGGGAAAAAAAAAAGCAGTCCTGTCTTTGTTCTTGAATGCATTCTTTTTTTTTCGTTGAGGAAAGAAGCATGACGCACAACAATCAAGTAAAACAGATACGACTTCAAGCGACTACCTGGACTACGAAGAAAAATAAATAATGAAGCTATTGTTTACATACAATATTAATTAATAGAAAATATAGGTAAAAGAGGAAGTAAAAATAAAAAAGTAGCTTGAGAAATGCTGGCTGGCTTCATAGTTCTGTTTTTTTTTTTATTCTTTTTTCATAAATGCAAAGTATTTCGATTTACCTAACGTCAGGAAAATGTTAAGTTATTCATGTTACTTTGTCCAAAAGGTGTTTAGTTTTTTACTTCTTAGTTTTTATTGATGTCAAACGATACAATCTAACTAATTAAGCCGTTTTTTGACCAAACATACGAACAATAAACATTTTTTAATTGTCAAACAGTTAAACACACTTTTTAAGTTTTTACGAACTTTTTTCTTTGTTTTTGATAATCGGAATTACAGACATCACTCTTTTTGTAGCCATTCCATAATTTTATTAAATTGTTAAAGAAATGGTTCTCGTCCTTTTTTTTTCTCTCTAAATAAAAACAAATTTATGAAGTTAAAAAGAAAAAAACATTGTTACCATTCTCTATTGGTAAGGAAAATATATTAATTATGTAATTGTAATCATATCATTACAATCTTGTCCGGACCCTAAAACTAGAACGGTAATCGAGTGCAGTTGAATGTAGCAAATGATGTCCGATAAATTCTGTGATAATTCAGATGTTCCTTCCTTCCTTATATTTATCTAATTTTTAGTCTTGTTAATCTTGGACTCTACTAAATCAGAAACTGAAGTTTCTCTGAAGAAATGACCAATTTAAAATAAATCCTTATCAAAATATCTTGCAATTATTATTCATTTATGAACGCTACCAGGTTCATAATTGCAATGCAATGTGCTGTTTTAAAAAAAAATTGACAAGGGTAGTAAGTTACAAAATAGTGGTTCCACTCTTTATTTTCCAATGCTTATAAAATTGTGATGTAATATTTTCTTAATTTTTTATGCGGTGAAATGTTATTAAAAACAAATCACATATTTGGCGTTTTTAAGTTAATTAACCAAAATTAAAAAAATAGTTTGAGATCGATTTATAATTTATAGTGAGTTCAGTTCTTCAAGCAAGACAGCTTATTCGTTCTGAAAAGCAAAGAAAAAGTAATTAAAACATCAAAATCATTAATTTTTTTAATTTATACTTCTGTTGTGAGTTGTTATACACATTCCGTTTTTTTGTGTTTTATTTTTCATTTTTAAAGTGTTATGACTTCAAATTTCTAAATATTTATTTTGCTATAAAACAGGAAAATAGCTTCCCGTTAAAAAGTATTCAGTCACTGTATCACAAGAATTAAGTTTGTCAACAATATCAGGATTTTGTCCAGGATTTCCTTTTTTTTTCTTCCTTTATTGAGACCAGTTGACAATCCAGATGATGGTTGGTTAGCTTGAAAACAATGGGATTGAAGTAAAAAAAAAAAATGCAAATACTATGTCCCCCACCCTCGTCGTGAAACAAGAAAAACAAGGATATGAATTAAAAAAAAAACAAAAAAAAAAAAACACGAAAGTATTGTCTTATCGTTCTACGGTAGTTCTGTTTCCAGACTAAATATTGAAACCACAGCCCACAATTTGGTTATGTCGACTCTGGTAGTATCGGCAAAAAACTCAAGAAAATAATTATTAAACACACATTTTGTGTGACAACCGAATTTAGTGGAAATTCTCTATTATTCGTTATTTTAAGAATACTTCTTTTTTTTTACTCAGAATTGGGGATTTAAAATTTGTGAGTATCTATTTAATTTAAATTAACTTTAGCAGTAGCTTGTCTTTTTGTGTCTCTATTTTTATTTTATGTCACAATGTTATTGTTATAGTTATATTATTTTTAAACTTAAATTTTAAAATCTATATTCCTGCTCTGATTGCTGTAAAACCAATTTTTAATATTTTCATATTCAGTTTTTATTTTGATGTTTTTTATATATAAAAAAAAAAAAGGTCTCCCCCAAAAAGGAAAATGTCCCGTCCCAAGCAAATGCGTCGATTTAAAAAAAAAATGGCTAAAAATGCTTGTCCTTAATGAGCAATGGTTCTTACTTCTTATATTCGAATTCATGTGTTCTGTACGTTGTACTCGTATATTTGCCTCTTTTTTATTCAGTCGAAGGGCAAAGGACTGAGGGACATTATTCCGAAGGTTTGATCTAAAAAAAAAAAAATGTTTTTATAAGTTTCACGTCAGAGAGAGAAAAAGCTTTTCGCTTTACTGTTTATGTACACTCCTCAGGAGTTGTTACTAAAAAAAGTCTGAGCTCTTCAGTCAGGCATAGCAACGTCTACGTAAATAAATAACCGAATAAAATTGTCTGGTGAACAACATAAATTCCACTTTTTCTCGTCGAGTTTTTGCATTCACCTTGTGTTATTTCCCTTGGGAAATACATGCGTCTATTTTGTCACCCCCCATCTATTGGTTAAATAAGTATACTTAACTCTATAGCCTTAAGTGGCTGTCAGCCTAGCTGAAAGACACTGAATTGCAAAACATACAAAAGACTACAGGTGAAAAGGCCAGTTTTATGCACAAACCCATTGCAATTAATAGATAATATATCTAAAGAGCCATGATTTTCTACTTGCCTAAAGGATATGGCATTTAAAATAAATAAAAGAAATGAACAAATATATGTATCTCTGTAGCTTAATTCTATTGTTCCTAAACAGAAAATTAAAACAAAAATTCCACTCCTTAAAGAGGTAATACAGTGAAATGCCACCTTGAAAGTGAGTCTTAATGTTTCTGGTTTTTATAAATTATACAAATCTGCCATCTGAGATGATGAGCTCTGTTTAAGATCAGATCAGGGTTATGGAAATTTTCTAAGTGTAGCTTATATGTGGCACAAGGCCAAAAGTATAGTGCACCTAGATCAGTGTTATGTATTGAATATGAGTTTTTAGTCTGTCATGACATTATTATTTGTTAATTTGAGAAACTTCAGTTTAAAAATGAAAATAAAGGCAGCTATTTCAGTGCTAAGTACTTATTCATTCTCTGACTCAAGGAGAATATGACATAAGGCTAAATATAAAGTAGGAATACCATACATACATGAGATTGGCAGCAAAAATTCTCCAGTTTCCTTAAGGAACACCTTTGGCATTAGATATTGAAGCTGATCTTCTCCCTTTTAGCAGAATTGGTGAGGTGCACTTGGGGAATTGAACTTTGTTTAGTTTCCACCTCAAATTCAAAAAGGCAGAAATGATAATGATGGTTGGAGTGTTTATAATGTATGCTTTGTTAGGGCAGGAGAAAAATCCTATCTTTGGCTTGTGGGTAGAAAAAAGAAATTTGCATTTAAAATAGGTAATATTTTAATATATCTTCATGAACTAAATGATTACCTAGGGGCAGAATAAGAGGCAAATTCAAAGAATTTAAATAGAATCTAAAAACTATTGCTTTTTACTCTCTTCCTGGTACACATACAGTTTTGACTTTTTTGATCATAGTACTGTTCCATCACATTTATGGTAAGCATTTTATTCATTCTGCTATAATAAATTAATATTTATGGCAATTGGGAAAGAATAAATTTAATTATTAAACAGCAAATTTTTGCAATTTTGCACCCTCCCTTTTATACTATTTTCAGCTTTATCTACTTACAAAAAAGGGATTGTCAGTGCTTTGGAAGACTATTTTTTTAATTTTCTATTTAACATTGTCGATGCAGAAGGATCCTGGACTGAATAAAATTTCAAAATTTTCTTTTTAAAAAAAATTATTTATTAGAAAGATTATCTTCTAAAGCTCTTTATGATATTCTTGTAAAATATAAAGATTATCATCAGTTTGATATTTGCTTCTCAGAAGTTTTAGGGGTTTTAATAACCTCTTTATGTTTATGACAAAGAAGGAGGGAAAATTTAGCAAGTTTTTCAGTTGAGGGTTAACCTCGGAATGAGCAAAATGCACAGTTTGGTTATCTTATCCTTTAGAGAGTGTATTGTCCCCCCCCCCCCATTTTTAAAAACATTTGTAAATATTAAGTAAATGTTTCTACTTGTAAAATATATTGTGGTTTTTATATTTTGCATTTCAAATGCTGTTCTATATATATATATATATATATATAAATAATTTTTATCCAAAGAGTACATTTTTATGATACTTTGTTATTTAGTTTCTATTAATATTATGATCTATATTGTTTTTATTCTAAAATATTTAAAATCACACTGATAGATTGAAAAGTGTTAAGACAACATTTTGTTAAAAAATAAAATGGCTTCAGTCAGTTTAAATAGTTGGATCTGAAGTTTTCTAGATCAGCTGTTTTAATTTTATTTGACCAGTTTAAAAAAAAAAAAAAAGGGGTCAAATCTTAACACATCTATAATTAACAGCCATGGCATTTAGCCATCAGCCTAAGCACTTGTCAAATAAACAAAAAAAGGCTTGTTTCTTTGTTTCATGAAATTAGAAAATTATTTTTGCCAGCAGTTTATTGGTCTGTCAAGGTTGA